TCAGTGCCTTTGCCTGTTTGTATGGAAAAAAGTGCCGGCTGCCTGGGGCCACAACAACTGGGCTCTTCTGCTAAAAAGCCTGAAGGAGATGGGACAAGGGCAAGTGAATGGGAAAGGAAGGCTGGGTTCTTTTTCTAAGGAGCTGCCTTTCCATCCACTTGGAGTAAGCAGGAACCAAGAGCAGAGAAGGAAAGAAGCTGAATACAGAGGAAGAAAAATATGTGTATACTATGTAGGGGGAAGGGGTTACAGAGATCCTGCCTTTCAGCCTTGAATAGAAGAGAAGGGAATATAGTTTGATTTGTAGAGATCTTAACCAATTTCCTGTAAAGTTTTCTAAAACGTCTTTCTCACAAAACACCAATAATGATGTACTAGCACTAAGTCACACTGAAATCCTACAAATGCCTCTCTGCTATATTATTTGTTCTCCTGTCACCATCAAGCCCCCACCCCCACCTCACCCTCCCAAAATAACCCAGCATCTGGACAATTTTCTATAAAAGAGAAACTCCTTTACTCGTAGTTCTAACTCAAAATGCAGATGGAATCTCTTCAAGGTTTCCTAAAAAAAGGGGAAAAAAAGCGCCTGTGAACAAAGACCAAACACTAGAAAACCTCAACCCCAAAGGTCATTTTTCTCCAAAGTTATAGGCACTTGAATACAGATGAGAAGGAAAACAGTCAGCAGGCCTGCTGCAGAGGTCCTGAGGAAAAGACCATATCCAGGAGCCTGACGCATGGCCAGAGGGAACTCAGGGAGGGAGGGCAGGTGGCAACCAGGAAGCAGAGCTGGGCTGCCTCCTCTCTGGCCAGCTGGCCAGCTGGGGGTACTTCCTCCTTCCCACACACTGTGGCTTATACCTCATTTTCCTCACTTACATGTGCTTTGGTCTTTTCTGAACACTGAGGTGGTAAGAGAACTTGCCCCTAGGTTAAAGATGGATAATTAAAGATACCAAAACTTTCAGGCTGCCCCCTGGGCCTTACAGTCATAGCCAACACCATTCCATGTACATCCACTCCAAAATGAACAGCATGAATTCAAGCTCCCAAGGACAAAGGATCTAGGAGTCTCTAGAACCAGATAAAAATCTACTTCCATATAAATAATCTGAAGAAAGAAAGGAATGGTATTCCTCAAATTTAGAGGCTCTGCAGCATTTTAAACCACCTGAATTTTTAAGTGAAAAAAAAATGGAAAAACAGTCTCATATTCAACCAATACCAATGATTTTAATCTGAATCAAAACATGTAAAACAAAATGAGTGCAGAAATCAGCAAGTTGAAAGCCTGTTAGGCAAACTGACCACTCCAGTTTTATCTAGTTGAACAAAGTACAAAAATAAACAGCAAAAATGATGATGAATGGAAAATACCAGCTGCTTCACCATGTTTATAACCAATAGCATTACTTACCCAAGTACAACAAGGCTTACACCTGTTAGTTTTTCATGATGGCATTCCTTGAGGATAGTCCCAGTAAGCTGACTCAGGGACTTCTGAAAACCAGAGGCAGATGAAAAAATGAACCCCCACCAAGCCTCCAGATAGGCCCTGGCCCAAAACTTGCTTCTGCCTCCCACACTCCAGAGGGGCATGACACACTCTCATAAGGATCAGAAGTGTACAATACAGAGGGCTCCTGGGAACCAGGCAGGAGGGGAGCTGGGATGGTTCAGAGGCACAGCCCCATATCCATCTTCAGGAGGTATGCAGATCTTGCCATAAAGTATCTCTGTCGAGTAGACAGCCACAAAGCCATTCTGAGAGAGCACTAAAGAGGGCCAATTTAACTGGCACACCATCTCCCAGTCCTTTTCCTGTTTCTTCTAGAAGTTCATTCTCATCCCAAATCTCAATCTTTCCTGCTTCCACTTAAATTTCTTTCTTTCTTTGTCCTTATTAAAATGAAGAACAAGTTACTATTATTCTCCTTGGATTAATTACTTCCCATATAAAGAATTTATTTAGTCTGGACAAGAAATCAGTCACTAAAATGATACTCAGTTTCTTTTCTTTCTTCCTCAGTCCTATTTTTGTGCCTCCAGTGACTTTTGTTTCTGCTATCCGGAGCTTTTCCAGTTTCCTCACTGCCCTGGTGACCAGAAGACCTAAACTGCACAGAGGCTCTAATGAGAACCTGACTTACGATGACCTCAGTGGAAGAACACTGTCCTATGTGGCACTGACAGCTTCTCCAATCCATCTTTCAAACTTTCTCTGAATCTTGTCAGGATCCTGCTTCCTGCAAATTTTAGGGAAGATTTTTTTTTAAGAGAGAGAAAGGCCATTAACAACAAATCTCTAGTCACTCCTAAACTGTCCATTCCTTCCCTGAGAGTAAGTAGTCCAATGGGTAGTACAGCAGAGCTGCCTGGCCCTGAACTCACCTTCCTACCTGTTGATCACAGCATTGTAGAGGCTTAATGAAGTAGAGATGCATTACATTTATCACTTGCCCTAGATCCACTCAAATCCATCACTGTGTCACAGCAAGAAGTTAGATTGATCTGACAGGATTTGCTCTTCTTCACAAACCCATGTAAGTTATTACTCTGTATCTTGTGCTCTTCTAGCTGTTTGCTGATTGATTATATGACGATCAGGTCAAGTATCTTCTCTGGAATCACAGTAAACTAACGGGTCTATAATTTCCAAGATCATTCGTATTCCCCTTTTAAAGATAAGCAAGACAGCAAATACTTCTTCCTGAGTTCTCTAAAGCAACAGCTAATGCTTTGCTAATAATGAACCAGGGCAGCCAATTCCTTAAGTGCCCTTAGAATCACATCATCAGGGTTCATTGATTCTGGAGATAATCTTTACTCAGGCCCAAATCCTGGTACACAGCATGAAGCCCTACCTCATCCTAGGTCTGGAAGGCCTTGGTGCCTAAATCTGGCAAGGAAGTTGGAGATACAAGTGATTTAAATCTGTACTGCATTATAATTTCAGTACTGTAATAAATAAATACAAAGAATAATGCCCTTGAAAGAGGATAAAAGGTGATACTGACAGATCAAATTGAGACATGAATCAGGTGTCACCTTCAGCAACACTGGCAGGACCCTCTATAGGACAAGAGAACAGAGCTACATAATTATCTGAGCTTATAATCTGACTGAAAAGTTGAGAAACAAACATACATAGGCCATGTGCAAGGAAACAGAAAGCAGGGAATGCCTTAAGGGAGGTGCCAATTGATCATGAAGGTTCAGAAGGATGATGAATCATATGTGACAAGGGTGTGTTGGATTTTAGACTCAGGTCCCACTAGAGTTTATTCAGTGACTAAACTCTACATCAGTAAGGGAAATAAAGTGGTATATTAAGATATAGATCCCTGATTCCCAACCTGAGAGAATCTATGGAACCAAAATTGCCCAGGCACTCCCACCACAGAATCTCTGATAGTTTTGGGATGCAGAGAAAACATTCCAGCACAGAAAGGAGCAAGAGGTTGAGAAAACAAGTGTGGCTCAGGGGGGCCCCTCAGCTATACTCCCTCTTGTCCAGACTTCCTTCCCTTACAACACCCTCCTCATCCTGTTTCTATCTTCCCAAGCGTCAGGAGCCCTTATTCCAAAGGCAAATCACTACTTTCAGGGAGAATGGGAGAGAGGAGAGGAGAAAGCAGATAGTAAAGGCTTGTGTTATCTGCTTTATGGAAAACAATCTATTACTCTAAAGATAGAACTCCTTCCTGTAAAAAAAAAAAAAAAAAGAGAGAGAGAGAAATTAACCCAGTTTATCTTTGAACAGACCCCCACTTCTTCCTGTCTCCCAAGTGCCTGATGCTACGATCCTCTTTTTCCCCTTTTCCTTACGACTGAAAGCTGCTCCTAGACCAGTATGTCTACACATCCCAAAATTACACACCTGATAACACAGCCCCATGATTACAGTCCCAATGATTACAGAGCCAATACACCCAAGGCCCCCCCACTGCAACGGACTGCCACATCAGCCCCTCACCATTCCCCCAAAGCAAACACCAAGCACTCCAATATTGCCTACAATATTGCCTAGCACGGATGCCTCTCTGTTGCTAAGCCAAGCTTCCTAGTAGCAGAATCTTAAAAGGTAAAAGGGTCTCTGAACACAACTGGTAACTAAGGAAAAAAAGCAAAGAAATTTTCCTTTCTGACAGACCAACACTGGTACTTGTTCACATTATTTAGTGCTGAACAACAAATGGAGTAAAACATCAATAATCATTTATTATCTCTTAAAGTTTCTGTGAGCCAGCAATTCAGGAGTGGCTCAGCTGACCAGTTGGCTCAGGGTCTCTCCTAAGGTTGAAGTCAGATGTTCACTGGGGCTACAGTTATCTGAAAGCTTGACTGGGGCTGGCAGATTCACTTCTAAGATAGCACCAAGAAACATGACTGGCAAGTTGGTCCTGGCTTTTGCTAGGAACTTCAGTTCCTCCACAGAGCTGCTTGAGTGTCCTCACAGCATGGCAGCTGGATTCCTCCACAGCAAGTGATGCAAAAGAACAAGGCAGACTGCAGTGCTTTTTATGACAGCCTCAGGTCACACAATGTCTTTTCTACTATACTCTATTGGTTATACAGAGCTAGATCTGACTTAGGGTGGGAGAGGAACTATCAAGGGTATGAATATTAAGGAGGCAAAGATCCCTAGGGGTCATCTTGGCAGCTGGCTACCACAGTATTCCTTAAAAGAACATGCAGTAGTATCAGGAGAAGGAAGGAGCAGAGGGAAAGTGGGTAGAAGGATGGGATGGAAGGAAATATTTTGACTCCCAAAGGCTGAGACCACAGAGAAACAATGTGCCCAGTTTTCTCCAGAGATTTCTCAGGTGTACCTTACGCTAGCATGCCTGAACCAAGTCCTGCTTCCTAGGCAGGAACTTCACATGGGTAGCTAAAAGGAAGACGTGAGAAAGTTCCTCTGGGTCTCAGGCAACAAGACTATCTTCCCTCCCTCCTTGCCCACCCCACCTTTTCTGACACAATGATGCAACAGTTACCTGAGGATGAATCTGTGGCTTGTCGCACGTGGCCTCAAAGTCCAGCACTAAAAAGTAGTGATACCTCTGGGGAGGAAAGGGCACCATTGCCGCCATGGATGCGCCAAAGCCGTGGGCCGCCAGCTTTCTGGTGGATATGGAGCAGAACTCCGGAACACCACAGGGAGAAAATAAGTGGGAGCCCAGCACTTTTCTTGCTCTTGAAAGTAAATATGAAGAAAATCGAGCTGCTCCAGTCTGTAAAGGTGCTAGCATTGAACATCCAGAAGCATCTAAAACTTAGGGGAGGAAAGTTAAAAAAAAAAAAAAAGAACAGAGAGCCTGGGTTACTCCCCTCCCACTGTGGCCCTGTTCCATCTGGTCTTCAGGAATATTCACACAACATGAACCACTCCCCACTGCTGTTTCTGGGCCCCTTTTCTAAATGACAGTATGCACTGCTGAAGTTTAAGACCCTAATCCTGGCCCTGGCAGCACTGTAACAGCTCTGAGTCTCCCAGATCATACTCAAAGCAACACACCACAATGGCCTTAATCTTTGAATGGAGATCTAAGGTTCAAAAGAAAGGAGAGAGAAAAATTCCGTGGTCACTGCTCAGGTGGCAACAGTTAACGTTAAAGCTAAGGTTCCTGAAGTTACATGAGGTGACCCAGATGCACAATCAGTCCTGGGAGCTAAAGAGGCTCAGACAAACAGCAGAAAATGCCCATGATTCTCTCCTCAGCTCCATTACCAGCCTTTTGGCCCTGGCTTTCCTGCCTTTATTTTGACATCTCCACATAGCCTCCTCCCTTCTCCCAAGGTGAAAGCAAACAGAGCCAGTCACAGGGGAGCTTGCCCAAGATATTCTGGTGGTTCCCCAGCCCCCACACCAGTAAGTGGCACCCCTGGGGAATGAATAAGGCCTGGAGAGTACAGCTGGCAACGCCTCAGGCCTTCGCCTTTGCTGCCTTGAGACTCACTCTCTACTAGAGGCCCTGAATGACTGCAGGACTTTTTTAAATAGGGAAGAAAAAGAGAAAACCCAGATGTGGCAGTAATGGAAGCATTGCTAAAAATCTAGTAAAGTTTTCAGAGTGAACATGTGCAAAAAAAATCCAAATCACTTTTCAAGTTTTCCCTTTAAATTTGCAGCATGTCTGCTCCTTAAAAGTTTAGCTAAATATAAAAATCAAAGCCTAAGTTTTACTCACAAATAACTCAAGCTTCCTTACAAAAAAACGAACAAAGCAGAAATTTTGCATTTTCCCCTTTTTATACCCAATGCTCAAATTCCCTCAACTTTAATCCTCAAAGTCAAACAAGAAATCTCATTGCTCAATACAGGAACAGCCATAGTTGATGCCTTCTGAAGCCTCATTTTAACAGAGCCAAAAGCTTGTCTCTGAAAGGCTGCAAATGGGCACTTACTCCATCATGCAGGGCAGGGGGACTGGCAGCCTATGAAGTCCAGAGCATACTCACCGGCAATAACATCACTGCTACATAAGTGGACATGGGTAATGCCAGGTATCACTTCTTGTTCCAATATCCCCTGACTCACTGAATAAGCTCCCATAACCTGCCTGCATACTTATTAGGATATATGTTAGTGTGGGTCCTCACTTTCCTATCCCTATGGTGAGATTCCATGGCGATTCCATGGAGCTAAGACTGAAAAGTGTTTTAAGTTCTTCATGGATTCTGCATAAGCACAGTTCTTGTTTACCCATGTTTTTATAGCCTTCCCAAAAATGCAGCCAAAACTACTCTGCCTGGGGTAGACAAAGGCTGTCTTGAGTTTCACTATGGAATCCCTTGGAAAGGCTAATGGTTAAATTCCCTTTGAAAGCCAGAATCCAAAATAACTCTTTGCATCACCCACACCTGAACAGAACTGGAAGCCTGGCTGAGATGGGAATCACCAGTCTGGTCAGATTACACACTGTAGTTTGGATCCAAACACCCTCGGTACCTTAGAACTCTTCCTTAACCCCCTGAAGTCAAGCTGGGCATAAGGACTTTTCAAAGTCTTTATGTTCTCCAATATGTATATATAGTGTGTACAATATATGTAGTCAACCAGACCCCATCTAACAGATACTACAGGCCAGTTAAGTGTCATGATTAAGGAAAGGCTTCCAGGTTTGAATCCTGGCTTATTTGCCATGGCACCTTGAGAAAGCTATGTTCTTTTTAATTCCTCACCTATAAAATGACAATAATAAACAGCTCCTACTCCTTCAGTGAGAATGAAATGAGAGGACACAAATAAAGCACTAAGAGCAGCATCTGGCACATAAGGGCTAATCAATAAATATTAGCTTACTGTTAACTACTGCACCACCCCATTGGGCTATGCCCACCTGGCCAAGTCTGGATCCCCTTACTTTGGGCCTATAAATTTAATTAATGCATAATGCAAATTCAGAAAGTGACATCCAAGTCTGGTGCATCCCTAGATGCTCTGAACCTCCCATACAGCATACTATATATGTTGTATACCATCCTGTGGACAACACACTGATGGCCAGAGGTTCTCTTGTCTGCAGGCCTTACTTTCTCACCTGATTTCACCTGTATCAAAAAGTCTCTGGTAGGAAGGTTTGAGAACAGACATTAGAAGACCAGGCCTCCACATGCAAGCAGTCACTGGCTTCCTTACTTCCCTTACTTCTAAAAACCAAGTACAACTCAAGTCAAGAAACAGAGAGCAGCTCTTCCTCTTCCCTTCCTGAAAAACTCAATCTAACGACTTTAGAGCCATTTAGTTGTGGCAGGGGAAGATAGTTGTCTATACCAGTTTGAAGTAGGGAAGCAGAAGGGTCCGGGGGAAATTATCAAAGCCCAAGCAGGATGAGAGCATCCATACATGAGCAGAAAGGTGTGATATAACATGCCAGAGTCCATGTGGGGTTGGGGGGGCATCACAGGGGTGGGGGTGGAAGGGCACCCTGATGTGGGTAGTCAAGGGCAGGGTAAAGAGGTACTGAAGATGAGGAAAGGACAGTGACAATAATGAGAGAAGAATTACATACAGAGGGATTAATCTAAGGCTATATTTTAAGAGTAATGGGAATGAGGTTTCCCACTATTAGAGGATGGAATTAAAATATGAAAAGAAAAAGTCCATGGCGTCAGACTGGAATTGGAGGCTACAGCGTGAAGTCATGGTTTCTGATATGTATATATGTATCTATAAATAATATACATAGATGTAAATGTGATTATACAAATACAAATATATACACACATGCATATGTATTTTCTAGCTCTGTCTACTAAAGGGCCAGGGAGCAGCAACATTCCGATAGCAATAAGCACACCCAGTACCCAGTTGCCTTCTAAACAACATTCTTCAATGAAAGAATCAGAGCTTTCTGGAGAAATGGTTGATTCCAGGGCTATGGCAGGGAAAGTACAAGTCAAGTCTGGTACACTATGCTGTGCCAGAAAGCAAGGAAACGCTCACAGAATGATGGGAACATATCAAAAGAATGCAGAAGCCAGCTTGAAGAAGCTCCCACTAGAAATAAATAATAATATTAATAGATCATGCACTGAATAAAAAAGGAAACCCTGAGTCCATAAAGATAGTAACTAATGAATTAAAGTTTCATTAAGAGATATTCACATAGTTCCCAAGTATCTCTTAAACACAGAATGCTTATTAATTATAAGAGGGAATAAGTTTACAATGGAGAAGCCTGGCAGACATCATCTTAATCAAGTGATCAAAATGAACATCATCAATAATGGGATAAATCAAAATCATGCACAACATGTAGGCTGCAATGAAAGAACAAAGCATCATTTGTGGTATTCCTGCCAAAGATGCATAACCTAAACCTAATCATGAGAACATATCAAACCCTAATTGAGGGACAGTCTGTGCAATAACCAGCCTGTAATCTTCAAAAGTATCACGGTCAAAAAGGTCAAGGAATGTTTATTGAGGAAGTCTATGGGAGATTAAAGAGACTTGACAACTAAAGGAACTCACATTCTGAACTTGATCATTTTGCTACAAAGAACACTACTGGGACAGTTGGCAAACTTAAATAGGGTTTGAGGATTAGATGAAGGCAATGTATCAGTGTTACATTCCCAGTTGTGATGGCTGTATTGTGGCTAAGCCAGAAAATGTCCTTGCATGTAGGAAATACATGCAAAAATTTCAGGGTGATGAGGCATTAGGTCAGCAACTTAACTCTCAAATGATTCTGGAAAAAAGTTACTTTATACTGTACTTCCAACTTTTAAGTAAATTTGGCCTATTTCACACTTTTAAAAAATTACATTTTATGCAATGTGACTTAAAAAAAAAAAGAAACAGAGAACAAGCAGTATGTGATGGAGTTATCTCCCCATCTTGCCCACAGAAGGGAGGCTGCATGCTTTTCTCTGGCAGCTAAGTTGGCAAAAGCCAGGCCTCAAAGCATTAAGAGTCACCATGATAAGAGCCCCCCCTCAGTGCCCCCTCACTGGGCATTCCTACCACCAGTTGATCCTTCTTAGAAAACACCCCCGCACTCCCTGCAATGGCATCCCCCTGGTTCTTGCACCCTATGGCATCTTACCCTCTTTCTTTTTTCCATTGATGTCTTTATACTTTAGTCACAAATTTGCAGAATGTTAAGTCTAAAACACATCTTCAACTGGAATTTTGAGTAGCTGTGGGACAGAACTCAAAAGGAACAGTTTATGATTCTATGTATTTCTGCACTCTTTTACCAAAGAGCAAGATTTAAACACATGTACTCTCAGATACCCTTTTTCTTCTCCTAGCAAACTAAAGGTAGTAGTGGCCTATGGCAAGGAGGAAAATGAATGAGTCTCTCCTCAAAATGAAGGGGCCAGCCCCCCAGTGGGGACAGGGGAGAGGCAGACAGGACTGCCACAGGGCCAGCCTGATTTGGAGAAACAGGCCTGCGCCACAGCCTCTGGAGGATGGTCTCCATGCAGAGTATTTACACGACAGACACCAAGGCTCCTCTGCAGCCATTACTGTTGGTCAGGTAAATAACACATGTGCCAAAACACACATTTAATGAGGGAAATAATATGCCTTTATAAAAAGCCTCAATCTATATTTACCTGAGAGACCAGAGAAGCACCAAATCACCAGATTAGTGGAACCACAGCGGAGCCATTCTGGTGTCTTGAGTAAATAGACATTTTATAGCCTTCCATTACTGAAGTACGAAAGGGAGGGGCTCATCCTTTAATATTCACATACACAGGCTAGTGGAACCTCGGGGATGGGAAAGAAGCCCATCATGAAATATGAGGTCTACT